TGCTGATTAGACAGAGGTACAGTTATGTCCTGTTTGGAATGTAGTCCATGTGCAGATAAACCTTGGTTTTCCACAGACTGGATGAGCATGGCACACTCAGCATAGTTTCCTCAATTATCAGGGTGCAGCAATACTTCCTTATTGACCATCTCAATTACTGACTGGTCATATTCCCTATCTGAGCCAACAACACAATCTACTTATGAGAATGGGAAGAGTGGCTTGTAATGGAAAACGCATAACATACGGCACATAGAAAGAGTTCAGCTGAGAAACCGATCTTAAGACATCACCATTGCACAGGTTAATGCAGATTAAGAGAATGAGCATCTTATTTCAAAGTGTGATTTCATATAAATTGCAACTGCAGAGAAGACAATGTGCTTTTGAACATTTTATCTAGCCCCCTCACAGTTCTGCAGGGTTCACTGCCGTTTTGCATAACAGATTGGCAAAGGGGACTCAAGATCATACCTACGATTATTTTCAAAATTAGCTGAAATAAACAGGACACAATCCTAGTCCAGGCAAGATGAATGGGAATCCTATAATCAGCTTCAAAAATGCATGGGACATTGCCCTGAATAGTGAGCAAAACAATATGTCTGCATACAGCAAAAATAGTGGGAAAAGGCATATGCATCAGTTATGCATATTTTTGTGGCTCTAAGACATCCTGATGGCATAAAAGACTGTCCTTCTCAGAGCACTAAAGTGTTGAAGTTCAACTCTGTGACACTTCTAGAAAAGGTGGGAGAACACAAGGCAGGACACTTTCCCTTAGTTTTGACAATCACATAACCTACACAAGATGTCAGATGCAGCAGAACAGCTATCACAGTTGTTTATTGTCATTTGTATTCAAGTTAGATTTTTAAGACATAATGAAACTAGCCAGATCACTGGTTGTAATAAACATGAAGCTCAGACTCTCTGACCCAGCCAAGAAACTCTTCTACAAATTCATTCTGAAAGGATCCACCAGAACTCTTCACCCTCTTCTTTTTTAACTTGGACTATTATTCAATATTTTTCAATAAAATAAAGACATAATGAATGTCATAAATCTAAAGAAATGGTATCTGCAGCAGACGCTTTAAGGAAAGCTTGTGTCTTATGACAGAAGTTCAAGTGCAATGAAACTCTCCCTTTGTCCAGTTTCACCTCATGTCATTTATGAACCTACAGTGAATGACTAAATTATGAGCTCAGCTTGACATGAGGTGCTGTTGAATTGTCACAGCATCAGTGGCAATCTTTTCTCATCAGGTGATTGTATTCCTTTCACAGATCTGGTCAATAAACCCTAATATCCAAGTGCTCTTGTGTATGCAGAAGGCTAATACGTCTGCTTTCATCACTACCACGGAGCAAACTCCCTTAACAAAAGACAATACCAAACATGCAGGGAGCAAAAACTGTCCTTCATTCAAAGTCACTCATTTGAGGAAGGGATATATGGCTTCCCACCATATGTGATAGCACAGAGAATACTGTTTATATATCCCCAAAAGCAATTACCATTAGCAAAAGAACAAGAAAAAAATCATCTTGGTAGGCAAAGAAAAGCACAGAGCAAAGTTAATGCTTTTGCACAATGGAACCACAAACAGCACCCTGAAGAGGCACCATGGCCTTGTCAGGATCCCAGTTTTATAGCATGGAGGTAGAAAGTGAAAGCCTGGATTGTGCTATAAAGAGGCATGTATTCTCCATGTAGGAAATTTGCATTGGAGTATGTTTCTTAAAGGCCTTCTATGGTTCATTGGATAACAGGCACACTGGCAAGTATGCAAATGGGGGCTGTCCCAAAGACAATGCAACAGACACGCAGTCAATGGTTACTGTCATCCAGCTCTTTGCGTGACATGCAGACAAGCTTAGAGAACATTGATTGTCCTATAGACTCCAGTGACTGGAGGGAACGACCAGTCGGCTTACACCAAGACACATTTTTCACTCCTGACGTTTTGATAAAGGCTTATTGACCTAAATGAGACCCAAGTTATTCAGGGAACATCAGGGGTGAAAGTGCACAAGCTGTTCTTCATGGTCATACACAAAAACGCCAGGTATCCATTAGCAACTGGCAAATTCCCCCTCCCCTGCCCGTGGCTGTGTGACAGACAAAAGTGTTTTTAATATCTTGTGTTGCATAAATCTAATAAGTAGTCTCCTGGGGGTGGGGGAGGTTCATGAATTTCTGTCTGTACACACTTATACTTGTGCCCAGAAACTTGCAGACAACTAGAAAAAAGAAGTAAATTAAAAATTATACCTTCCTGAGCTACTAAAATATTGCCTGTATTTGCCTGATTAACAGCTTAACATGAAATTTACATGCACTAGAAGGATGCCAACCTGATCTTTAGTTCATTTATGCTGGTGGCAATCAGGGCTAATTCTGTTCAATTGGAGTTACCCTGGCAGAGATCAGCAATGCCTCACACCTGAGAATTTCACCAAATCTGAGTTGCACTACAGATTAATTTGGTCCACTATTTCTACAATATTTTCTCCTACTTACCTGCTTAACACCTACCTATTAAGAGCATTCTATAAAGCCTTTGTGCTTCTCATGATGAATCAGTTAGACTGAAATATCCTGACAAGCTGACATAGGAAAACAAAGATGAAGTGCTGAGCAGACAGAGAGGATGTAAAGAATGAGTGAAATAAAAAAATAAAGCAAAATTCATGAAAAAATAAAATACAGAGGAAAATACCTTCCTGCAAAATACTAGTGAGAGTGGGAATCAAAGGTCAGTGGAGGAGTTTTCTTGTTAAAATTACAGACACACAAGAACTACATTGTGCAAGGATCTGCTCAACCTCAGGTAACTCAATTGTCATCTCCTTTCCACAAGGTGAAACCTAAAATATAACACTGAGATTAAAAGTTTACATGGTATAAAGATCCCTCTGAGATGTGACAGTCATGTACATTCATACTACAGGCACACAGGAGCCCTCTCACTTAAGTGGAGATACTTTTTTCCCTTCTTACTATTGATTTGTACATGGTAGACCTCATTTCTGCCATCCTTCCTGCTCAGCCCAGGTATATGCTTAATGCCCGCTGCATTCCTTCTCAACCACATAATCCCAACACAGCCCAGTACCAGATTAACTCTGAAAGAAAAGGTAGAAAGGATGAATAAGAGATACACATGTAGATCACTTTTCTTGAAGAACTGTATCAGTGTCAGTATATCTCCAGCTACCAACAGTCTCTCACCTGTAAATTGTTAACTATTTCATCTAAAACAAACAGGTAGACAAGACATGTAACAAACTTTGAGCATTTCCACTGTGGTACAGTGCTTGGTGAAACTACAATAGATCTCCAGGTAGCTGTTTAGCAGGTGTCAGGGAAGAAACTATTTCTCAAAAAGTCCAGTAAAGGAGTCCTCACTCATGCATTGGTACAGGAGTGGGATCAGCGTGTGGGATAAATTTCAGAAGTTTCACACAAGATTTTTTCATTGGATCTCACTAATAACTTCCACAATTTTAACATGGAAACAGAAGTTCCTTTCAGCTGATCCTGTACTATACAAACAGCCTTGGGAATTGCTTCAAGTATAATGAAAGAGTCAACAGAACATAAAAATTATCCTCAGCCTGAAAAAGATATGTCATAACTTAATCACCTGGCTACAGAACAGCTCTCATGACCTGATGAAGGAACTTAGGCAGGATCAATAAAAACATAGTTCCCTGACAAATATACCCATGCTTGTTATTACAGCTCATACCTCCAGAGTTGCCAGGGTTTAATCACAGTTTCAGAATAAGCACACATAGAGAAGGGCTCAAAGAACAGCTGTGATGGAAAGCCCATGTACCAGGTTTGATTTACACAGAAAAACTAGACCTGCTATGGGTAAGGACCTTGCAAACTTCAGGACGTTGTTAGGCAAAAGAACAAGAAAGTCCCTTTCATTAGAGGACATCAGGGAAAAGTTACTAATGAAGAGGACAGTGACTGAATTGAAGGAGGAACCAGACTTCTCCAGCTGTGTGACTGAAGATCAGATCTGACAACAAACACACAAATATTTTAGAAAAATCATTATCTTGTGTATTTTGTTAATAAATGCATCTTGAAAAGCCTTTTGTTCACTACTTGACCCTCAGTGGATTGGAAGAGCTACAATCCAATGTTGGGAGGTATCCAACATCTGCACTTTGAAATAAGGTACAGTAGCAACTCCAAAAGGAAGGACAGAGTCCTGAAACTTAGCTGGAGGAGATGTTTTTAGGCAATTAGACAGACTAATAGCTTAGGGGAAAAACAACAAACCACAACAAAACTGACATAAAATGGATTATGACACCATAACAA